AATGCTGGCAGAATGGCCTGCCGCCTTCCTGAAGCAACCGTTTGCGGCTTTCGTCGGCAGCTATTATCGCTTCTCGTGATTTCGGCCAGATAAGCTTGGGACATCACCTGCCGAAACGGCTTTGTTTCTTGCTCTCATGACGGACCTTACCACCTCGCCCTATCGCGACAGGCCTCCATTGGATCCCTCTTTATATGTATTGGAAGACGACCAGCTCGGTTTCTTCAAATCTCAAACCGGAATTGACGACGAGGAAGAGCTTAGGGCCCATGTTCTCGCTGTTCAGGCAAAGGCCTACGAGGTCAGGAATGACGAATCCCTATCGAGAAGGTCGCCTTATCGTCTATTTTGAGCAGATATACAGATATCCTTGCATCCGGTCGTTTAGTTTCCTCAGGTAAGCATGGATATCTGACTGCCAGGTTCATTTTGTTGACTTTTGTCGTTTAGGTCGAAGATCTCCGAGCTCCCAGGGTATCAACAGGCGTTAAAGCTTAGTGGAGAGCGGCTAGGAGTTATCTTATTGGATATTGGATGCTGTTGTACGTCGTCCCTCTTTTCGTTTGACCGTACAATGTTGACCAATGAGACCAGTCGGTAATGACATTCGCAAAGCGGTACAAGATGGATTCCCAGTCGAAAACGCTATTGGGTCTGATCTTCGAGGAGGTGAGCATCACAAGCTTTGTCTTCAAACAAAAATTTAACGCCATCCTGTAAGGTTTTTGGGACCTGGGACACGAGCTCTTCAAATCCACGCCAGAAACCTTTCCGGCAGCCTTTGTCGCAGGCGACGCCTTTGATCCAGCATTCATTGCGCCTCGAGAACCATTCGACAAAGTCCCTGGTAATGCTGCTCCAGTGCTAGGGTCCATGAAGACCTTGACGCCGCTACAAGGACATGTCTCGGCGATATATGCTTCTTTATTCTTCCATCTCTTTGACGAGGAAAAGCAATTCGAGCTCGCGAAGCAGCTTGCCACATTGCTTTCTCCGCTCCCTGGATCCGTCATCTTCGGAATTCATGGGGGATTGTCTGTCAAGGGCCTCAGGAAGGGAAATACGCTTCCGACAATGTTCTGCCATTCACCAGAGAGCTGGAAGGAACTGTGGGATGGACAGGTTTTCGACAAGGGGAAGGTTTTGGTTGAAGCTGGTGTGAAGCAAGTGGAAAGATGCGCCAGATATCTTCCTTTGCCAGAAGACCAGGCGCGTTACTTGCTTTGGTGGACCGTGACACGTCTCTGATATCTAGGTGAGGACCTTGTCGCGGGCTTTTGTTGTTTCCGCTGATATATTGCCCAGATTGGTTCAGCTTTGAAGATCTCCACCTTTTCTCGAACCTCGACAATTCACTCTTTTGATGCAAATGGACTCATGATAGAACAAGACGGGGTTCCAGGTTTCGTTCGACCGTTTTTGTTGTAGAGATCCACTAGGCCAAGCTACAGCACAAACGTCATATGGACTGTACAGGGATTTACCAACGACGAACAGGAGGTGGACAATGATTTTTTGAATTCCAAAACTGTTGTATTTATAGACCAAGATAATACGACAATATCGACAATTACAGTATTCGCGCTAGAAAAAGTAGTCCGCAAATGTCAAATCTGAATCCTCGTCATCCGAAATGAATAAGGCGAGACCAGCCTGGCGCAAAGCCTCTAGTCGACCTAATTGTGATGCTTCGGGATGACACCGGATATTGAGGTTCGCTGTAGTCAGCGAGCCATGCTGCCGACGTGACTCGAGCATTTGAAGGAGAGGCTCGACGTGTGTCTGGTCATCCAAAAGGCATATTCCGATTTGGGTCAACTTTGGGAGTAATCCAGAGAGGCCTGCGATGAGGTCGGCTTCATCATGGTCGTTGAAGATCAAGCGTTTGAGACTCGGAGAGCTGGATAAGAATTCAATGAATGGCGGGGTCGTGAACAGCATGTTGGTGAATTGCATGTCTGTTAGCGAACATTGAGATTGCAGCACAAGCGATGTAACCGACATTATTTCATTGTCTGAAATATTGGGTACTGAAAAGCGGACGTGCAGCGACTTCAAAGCTGGGGCAACGAGTGTGTTCAGGAATGGTGAAAGGACAGGGCCACAGACATCGACAAATAGGGTACTGAGCTTTGGGAAGTTGATGACCTGTCGGATTGATTCGACGCTCTCGAGCGTGACTCCATCAAGTCGCAAAATGGTCAAGTTTTGGCACAAATGAAGGTGCTTCAGAGACAATGGCAACTTGATATCGTTCGCAGTTTTCGCTGTCAACTCGCTGATGGTCGTCCAGGGTAAAGCAACATCTAAATAGACGCCATCGTGCTCGTAGATGAAGCCGACTTTTCGCAGCAAAGGAGCCACCTTGAAAGCCAACAGCTCGGTAAGATACGCATCCTCGGTGAAGCAGATGGATAATTCGGTCAGGGAATCGAAATGATCTGGGAACCTATGGACCATCCAACCATTGATTTCCTTATGCTCCAGAGTCAGAGTTTTCCATCGGCTCGCAGACGAAATGAGCCATAGAAAATGATGGTATTCAGCCTCTGGGCCGATGCTGATATCGAGCAGTGCTGAAGATGACCAAAGTTCAAGCATCAAAATGAGCATTGAATCGCTGGTCTTTCGCGAGTAGCCAACGGCAATGGTGGTCCAAAGCTCGGGTACTGAGGTCGATATATCACGCCACCGCTGGCAAACAGCGAGGAGGTTCTGCGGTGATTTGAGGTCGTCATAATTCTCCCCATGACCATTTGCCGTGCAATGTCTGAAAATTTCTCGCAGCATCTCCACAGGAAGCAGGCGTATCGGATGGAGCAACCCCTTATTCCTCAGCATAGCTTCCTGGGCCGCTGCTCGACGAGATTTCAGCGCCTGGCTCGTCCTATCGAGCAGGTCGATTTGGGCGTCGAGAGCCAGAATCTCTGCCTCACGAACATCGACATCGGCTTGGATAATGGCAATATCGGCTGGATTTCGTGCATTATTGGTGCGAGATTCAGGGAATTCACGAGTTAAGGGGACAGGGACGTCGTCGAGATATCGGTTTCCGCAACGGCGGCAGCAGAGCGACGAAGACGACGTCTCAGAGGCCATGATTTTTGTTCTGTGGATTGTCAGCAAACCGTCAACGAAAAGCAAAACCTTTACATGTCACAGATAATAATAATCCTTTTTGCTGAAAGAGAATTTGAGAAACAATGGTCGTCGTCGCGTCGAGACCCGAGACAGACCCGAGACTCGCCTCTTCACCAAACCTCCAACATCCTCATTCATGTCTGCCTTCAAATTCAGCCAGGATGGCGTCGAATATCGCTCTTGCTATAGGCCAAATCTATCCTCTCCTAATCCTCGTCACCATGCTCGTTAAAGCTTCTGTCGCCAGCCAAGCCTAGGATCGCGTTGAGCCTGTTGCTGGCATTTTCAGCTATAACGGTAGACTGGTCGATGGAGACAAGACTAATTTCGCTCAGATACATTCGGGTAGAGCTGCAGTGCTCGTTATTCCGTCCCAGGTAAGCATATCTTCGCCTTTTTTCGGCCGCGCTTCACCGTTGGTATACCAAATCTCGCAGAGCAACGACTGGCCTGCGTCCATTCCAACTCTGAGCCTACCAGAACGACGACCCAGAGAACTCCATTTGATATCGCCTCTCCTTCTTCCCGACCTACTGCCACCGTGTTTTCGAGGCCTTGTCCAACCAAAAAAAATCCAGTCCTTTCACCTCGGCTCGCCCTAACCCTTGTCGACTAGATCACGTCTACCCGCAAGGCTCTAGAGGATGCCTGGGCGTTTCCACGGTATACAGCGTCAACGAAATCACCGTCCGTTAAAACCTGTCGCCCAAATGCTGCTGGAACGCGAACGACTGGCCGAAAAGCTCGCGCCTTATTCATGCTATTGCACCTTGACTGGACCTCTTGCTCATGCTATTCCACGCCGGCGCTCTGGACCGCTTGTCGAGAATGTCCTTCGTCATCTGGTCGAAAATTTGCTTTCATAGAATTGCGGGACAGGTTGGGGACAGGATACCGAACCTATACGAGTCAAACGGGGGCCTGTATAACAATGCAGAAGCTCTGTCTCTGTTGCCGTCGTCGTTGGTCTGGATTTCTGTCGAAGCCTCGAAGGGAGACAGGAAGGTCTATCACCCAGCCATTTCACGGATAACTGACCTTTTTTACAGTCGACTTTGAGGTTACTCGTGAGCCTTTCAGGAAACAGGTGTCATGCGGTGAGTAGGATTCTTCGTCTTGGTTTCATGGGTCCTATCCAATTCTTACCTCTCTTGCAGTCTGTATACTGACACCCGGCACTTTTTTCACGATCGTAGCTGACGGGCACCAGACCTTCGGCTCAAGAGAAAGATTGTAGAGGTTGCGACATCCACGAGGTGCGGATTCGACCAACACATATTCCAGAAATGTTCAGCTTTCCTTTATTCACCGACCTGAATTCACATCTTAGAATTCCAGTTCTCGTTTGGTCTCCGGATGAAAGTCTGTCGATCTCTGAACCAGTCTTCAACATAGCTCATATTGTCAATAGTACTCTGCCAGGATTGTTCGAAGTCTCGAGTGTTTATGTGGACTTGGCACTGTCACATATCCCCACAGTATTCGGGCGGCTCGGCTCGGTAGATACGAGGTGCGGTCTACGTTTGATCTCCAATCCTTCATCGCTTACCTCGCGTCCCAGAGCCATTCTCCATTAGCAGGACCATGGAACTGACGGCCGCTCCTTTCGTCAACTCCAGCCAGGCTGGCTGTTGACAAGGAGACTGCAGCGACGGCGGACCCGCGACTGTATCATATCTCTTCTTTCCGGCTTGTTGTACGGAAGTGCGAGTAATAATTATCTGGTCGTAACCAATCCGCCTTCTTTCATGCCCTGGTATATACAAGTGCGATGCATACATAGCGTATACAAGGACCGTGACAAAAAAGTAACAGTAAGATAGATGTCCACAGTGAAAGATTGATCTTTCAATTGCAAGTACACCAAAGGGAGTCGAACCCCTGCCGCTTGCTGAAATCCAAGTATACCACTGATGGAAGGCAAGCATGATAACCGCTTCACCATTGGTGTATGCATCGTGCTTGGCCATCGTGCACTATCAATATTGCTAGTGAAACAGCAGTTAGCTGTAACTCAGGTATCTCGTATCTGATGGATTTCAGTGCAGGGAAGAGACTTGATATGCAAGCAAAATCAGCATAGCCAGTGAACAGAGACCTGGAAAGAAAGAGTATTTACAATATCTCCGAGCAGGCTAGAGGTCAAGGTTAAGTAGTTTCAGCTCCCCAACGAGGCAACTCCGACATCATAGCCCTCTTGATCTCTTTCTTGACCCATCTGCTTTCCTCCGAGTTGAGCATAACTATATGGTCTTTGTAGCTGGCTCTAAGAAGCCTTATGTCAAGTTATGGCAGGAAATACCCGTTGTATATCTGCCTTTGTGACTGGTATAATCTCATCCACCTTGACTGCAATGGGCCAACAATGGGTGAATAATTGGAGGCAAGGAATCAGTACAAAAGTTGTGGGACAAAAGCAAACACTGTTTTTCTGAGGTTCCGGATGCTACAGTTGTACTGGAGCATCCAAAGCGGATCAATAGTGCTTCTGCAATCATTGAACACTCTTTGGGACCCATGGGTACATTCAATGCCTGTATTTCAGATTTCCTTTTGAGTCTCAAGCTTATAAGTTGTAAATCAGATCGTATCAAGATCGTATCAATGCCTGCAAAAACTCATGTTACATGGCATAACTAGAAAAATTAGGTCCTAGAACTGTTGATACATGCCACTCGAAGGCCAAAATGCCTTGACGCGTAAAAGTGAGTGTTACATGACTTTGGCGGTCTCTGTCGCCCCTCGGAGGCCGAAAACAACACTTGGAAACGCTTTTCAGTGCCTCGTCCTTCCCTTTTTGACTTCTTTTCCGAGAAAATTTCAGCAAAAACACCCAGGAGATTGGTACAATCTCGGTCACCAACATTTCGCTTGAATTGCAAGAATATCTGGCTGAAACAAGTCATAGGAACGAACCTGGGGCTCCTTTATCTATCTTTGATTCAGCTTAAAGTTTGCTTTGGATTTCGATCCAGGCCAAAAGGTCTCGGTTGACTTCGTCCTTCTTCTCTACCATTACCCAATGTCCGGCGTCATAATCACAGACCGTGGTGTTGGTGCAAGTCTTCGCCAGAATCATCTTCTGCATGCTAGCCAAACAAACAAGGTCGCGCAATGCAGCACCAAAGAAGACTGGCTTCGTAACCATGATGTTCTGTTCCGGAATAGCTACACGGGTCGCAGGTCAACATCAGTCAAGGATAGGGATTGACATGCTCACCTAGATCATCATTGAAATCGATATTGTCCTCCGAGGTCATAATACCATAGTAGCACAAAGGCCCCGCCATGCCTCCTTTCTGCAAGATCTCCCGGTGGTGTTTGACCTCCTGCTTGCGTCAGTAGATGCCTACTATGACAGATGAAAGATGCGAACATCAGCAGAAACATAATCCTGAATATCAGCGATTTTGTCTGCCTTGAGCCAAGCCTCGAGATCGCCAGTCTGTGCAAAATGGTCCTTCAGGAGCTTGGAGTCCCCGAAAAGCAAGGACATGAATGAATCCATGTGATCAAGGATAATGGTGTCGGCGCCTTTCTGCGAGAAGAACTTCCAGTAACCGAACAGCTCGTATCCAGCAATGGCCTTGGTCTGGAACAGAAATCAGATAACCGACAAAAACATCACATCCAGATGTACCGATGCAAGAAAGTCGTCGAATTTGGCCGGCTGAGGGCTAGGAAGCGTGTTTACTACTGCCAGGAAAGCAAAAGCAATGAATCTTTCGGGGTAATAGTTGGCAAGACGGCTGACAAACTTGGAGCCCCTGCAACCTCGTTAGCTTTTTTTCAGCAATACGAAAAATAGACTTGCCGGTCGTGGCCTATAACAATGCATTTCGAAATCTTCTCGGAATCCAGGATTTCTATCAGGTCTTTGCAGATCAAGGTCGACTTGTAGGCCTCGAGATCCGTTGGTTTGGATGTTCCGCCGTAGCCGAGCATATCAGGGACAATAAGCCCATATCCAGCGTTGTTGAAGAATGCGATTTGGTGTCTCCAGTCGAAGGATGTGCTGGGGAAACCATGAAGAAGAAGCAGCGTCGGCTTTTCATTGTCACCGGCCTTACGGTAATAATTGTACTCGAAGCCTCGAGAAACAGAGATCTGCTTGTATGCTGAAGCGTTCATTGTGGTAAGAAGCAAGGCTTGCTGTATAAGATGTCAGAGCCGCAAGAAACTGATCATTATGAGCGGTGAATAAGTAACTCCGCTCGATCACGGACGCGGCATGCCCAGTGTGGACAATATAGAAGCAGATAATGTTTCAATGAGTCATCACGATGAGGCAGCAATAAGTACATGAGGAGAAAGGCATACAGGATAGGATACTTGAATTATATACTGATCAAGTACCTGAGGACTCGTACTGATGGCTATCTACTTATTCTACTTGTGGCCTTATTGTTCTCGAATTGTACTCTTGGGATTTTTCTCTTGTTGTTTCCTTGACCTGATCATGATGGCACTGTCAGAACCTGGAAAACGTGGCAACCGGAGCGCTTGAGCAGAAAACAAGGGAAAGTTGTCATTTGATGCCCAGGTTCCGGTCCGTCGGACTCCGAACCGGGTCAAAGTCCATCATGTGACCTGGCTACCCTTGTTCGAGGCTTCGAGCTCTTCAAAAAAGTCACGACCACCATTCCACCAGCGAAAATCTTCGAAAGGATCATTTCCAGTATTCTAGGGAAGCGAAAGCTTCCAGTAGAATTGATCGACTGTTCCCGACCATGTCCCAAAAAAACCACGGAATCGCAAAGTCAAGCCTCCTGTAGCGTCAGCGGTATCGGAAGGTATCACGCCAGGACCAGCTTCTTTGCCTCGACGTCCAGTCAAAAGAGCTAGCGTCGATGACGAACCAGCTCCTACCCAGACAAGCCCACGAGACTGAAGAGGTCGCTGTAGAGCCCAAAAGTCGCCAGCGGAAACCCTCGAAAACCAGTAACAAGACCTCGTCAGCAAGCCAAGCTGCTGGCCAGGCTGATGGCGAGACCAAGAAGACGACAGCTGAGCAGCCAATGCAGCCTATGGCTACGAAAAGCTCACGAAAGCCTCAAAAAAGTAAGCAGTGCGTCTTTACGCTCTAATCGCAAAACTAATCTTCATATTTCAGATGGTTGATTCAGGACATGATTCGAGACGTATGGATTGCAAGAAAACCAAAGTGTATTTCAAAGATGCCTTGTATCATGCCAGAATCCATAGCGACTGCACACAATAACAATGTTTTACAAACCTCCTTGCGACTTCCTCCTGAGCCGAAGGTTTGGTTTGGCCCTGGTTTAAGGTTAGTCTCGAGACAGCCATGACATGAGGTCAATTCAAATCAACTGCGATAGATGTGAGGTCATGAAGACCAAACGAGGAATCACGCCTCACCGAGCATGACAGCTGTTTCGGGAAAGGCTCCAGCAACCTCAACGTCAACGAACCAGAGCTCATTGTTCAGTTACACCAAGACAGATGCGGTTGACTGTGAAAAAAGTCAGTTTTTATCGGTGAAATGAGTGGGTGACAGACCTTCGAGTCTCCCTTCGACAAATATCCAGACCAACGACGCTGGCAATAGCGACAAGGGCTTCTGCCACCCACTCCTTGACGCTCTCGGCAATGATTCGGTAACCTTTCCCGCGATTGCACAGGACGGAAATTTTCGACCATATGACAAAGGGCATTGTGAACAAGAGGTCCACAGAGCATTGAGGTGGAATAGAATGAACAAGACACGACTTCTTCAGCTATGTAGTCGTTGACATTCCAAGCCTAGCATCTGGGCGACATGTTTCAACCGACAGTGATTTCGTTGACGCTGTATACCGTGAAAATGACCAGGCTTCACCGAGAGCCTTGCGGCCGAAGGTGATCCAGTGGAGAAAAATTGGGAAAGAATGCGAGCCGAGGTGGAAGGACTGGAATTTTGGTTGGACAAGGCTCCTCGAAACGGGGTGGCACTGGGTCGGAAAGGAGAGGCGATGTCGAATGGAATTCTCTGGGTCGTCATTCTAGTAGGCTCAGAGGTGGAATTAGCAGACGCCAGTCGTTGCTCTGCTCGCGATTCGAAAATTTTGGTGGATCCCTGCCACGGATTGCGAAGAGGCGACGAAAAAAGGGAAAGTTTGCGTACCTAGGATAGAATAACGAGCGCGGCAGCTTCTCCTAGATGCACCTGAGCTAGGCAGTCGGAAATTCCACCGTCATAGAATGCCAGGAACCTCGACGCGATCCCGGACTTACTAGTCGGCGACAGAAGCTTTGAGGGCCCAGGGGTATGTCGACGATAATCAGGAGACGACGGTTTTGCCCACGGAAACAACCCGTGGGAGAAGGACCGATATTCGACCGCTTCCTGACTGAATTTGAGCTAAGTAAGAAGGAAGACATGATAAAAAACAGTCGTGGAGGTTTTGGCGAAAAGGCGAGTCACGCGTGCGTCGGGTTCTCAACGCGATACCGACGGTAACCGAGCCGCTATAAGGCCGTGATAGTTTGGTGGGAGCCTTGTCGTTTGAACGCGAGAAGGGTTCAGGTCCTCCTTTTCTTTGATTCTCTGCTGACAATCCCACAGAACAAAAATTATGCCAGCCTTTGAGACATTGTCTCCGTCGCTCTGCTGCAAGGGGTATCTGACTTTTAAATGACGGAAGTGATGTCGACTTTCACGGATAAGGATGCTCGAGACCCTCCCCCCCCTCTCCCACCTGCCTAATTGGGAAGGAAGTTCACACGGTCACTGCGGAAGTTCGAGCCTGAGCAGCAGCATTACAATGATTTGTACTTTATCTATCTATCCAGCATTCAGAGTAAGTACCAGGACTTACATTGTAATTCAAGATTTCGCCTTTTTGCACCTGCGAATGCCTAGTGGCCGTGCACCAGCATTTCTGTGACAGTCGTTGTCACAAAACCACTGGTCTGGCTGCAAAAGTTCACCTTGACAGCTCAGTAGGTATA